AATTAGCTATATCTAGGTTAATATGGCAACGAAGAGAATTTCAATCTTCCCCCTCGTACTAGTATATATGATTCCTCAGCTGTATTAATCTACCAGCACTTCATGTGCTTAATATGGACGATTTGTCGAAAGACTAGTACACCATTTGGCTTAAAATCCTGTAGCAGGTTTCAGAGCATCATGTGAAATTTGCAGTTTCAGCTATGTAGTTTGAAACAATCATGTTACAGTGTGTTTTCCTAAACAGTTTGTAAGGCTGATATTTCAAATGAATATCTTAATTTTTATTTAATTTTATTTTTATATGTTAATTTTAAGTATCAACTGTATCGTCAAAAATAGGTAGGCTAAAACGTATTCAATCTCATTCCCTCTAAACAAGACAAATTTTGGTCGCTGTCAAGAAAAAATGCTTCACTGCGTTACTTAGCAACGGTAAATATGTTAATATTTATTGCAATAACTGATAAAATATTAACAATTTTGTCTTTGTTTGCTAGAAGTACTTTAAGGTTTAAAGAAAAATATAGATCCAAATAGTTTATTTATTAATTACATGTTAATTTTGTGTAAATTTGTATAAATACAATTAGGCAGGTGGAGGATTACTTCAAATTTCTCTCAATATTTTAAAAACTAGTTTGGTTCAGAAGATATATATTTAAACAAAGATTTCATTTTTTCCCAAATATCTTTTTGTGCAGTTATAATTGATCTTTGTTTTGATTAAAAAAGATAACAGAAACAATTTCTTGGTACTGCAGCTAAAAGTAAAGAAATGACGTTTAACCATATCAAAAAATTCGGGATGAAATCGACTGCTGAAACGTAGTTAATATCATATGCTGGTATATAATTATAAAATCGTCCTAATACACATTGAAATTATTTTGGAGGAAGATAGAATTCTTCAATAATGAGAAGACATGACCATATATGCAATTGAAATCACGATATTTAGGTTTTATTACAAATACATACCGTTGTTTTGAAATTTAATGTTTATTCGTTATACGATCTGTAAACTGGTATTCCATTTCCAACCTAGTCGCACTTCGTGAACAACAACTTTAAACGAGAACCAGTGAACGTATTCTCATTCGGTGTTTCGTTGAAGCAAGTTCATTGCGAATACATTCTCATTCCTGAATATAATTATTGTCCAAACTATGAGCCAGTGAATTCCAGAAGTAAGTTTCAGAACTTACTGGACAGAATTTGACCAAACAAAGTAAATATCTCCGTCCTGCATTAGACGAGTTTGAGCTCAAACAGCTCAGTAGTAAGGACTCAGACTAAAGAACTAGGTAACAAGGATTTAAATATCACAAAGTATCAACTACCCTGGAAATGCAAGTATGTCATACCGAAACCACTACTAACTAGAATGAAACCTGAATTGAGGGTTTTCTCCGAATTCCTCAAGTCTCCTAATATCAGATTTGGTTTTGTGTGGTTAGAATAGATTAGCACTTTTATGTGGATACTGAGTAACGAAATATTTGTTTTCTATTTCATAATGTTCAATTGTTGCGTAGTAAAAGTTCATAAATCACGCAAACATAAACTACTGACTTTTTATTTAAATGCAAGAATCAGACTTTTAATAAGGACAATTACTTTTGATGTCTATTCACATTATATAAATTGATACACATGTGTACATCAAAATCACAGCACTATTTTTACATGAACGTACAATGCGGAGCTTTAGGCATAAACACAAAAACGTATCTGTCAGTAAATTACATTTCCTTTCCTATTTTTAGGCATCTTTTTAATTTTAACCAACCAAATAAAATATTGAGAACAGAATGTTAAGACAAAAGATCTCAATTTCAAGCAGTCAAATGTTGTTTCGATATCGTTGATTCGACAACTATATATAGTTTGTATCTTGAAAAGTATAATATGGGATTTTGTGAACATCAATACTAACGAGGAACGATGTTATTTCATCAAGTGATTCCGTTCCTATTTTTACTTAGGTGATTTTAACGTCTAGGGATATATATATATATATATATATATATATATATAAATCTTCATATCTCAGCTGTAACTTATCATGTGAGTCAATCTCCATTTCTAAACACACTGAAAAAACGAAAATACGACCCCTCAATATTTATAGTTCACAGGATGATTTTAGACTATGGTAACTCTAACTATGAAGACCGTGACTACATTAACTAATGTATATTATACTTAATATAAACACTAACATTTTATGTGTTTGTTACAATTCGTATTTTACCATGAAGATAAGTCACTTTATTAACGTAAACTCATTCATACAAACTGGATAATAATATACAAACGTCGCTGAACATGACACTGCAAACTCAGATATTTCTGCTGGCCATTAATACAGTCCATCATTAAACCCAGTCAAAGTATCCTGGGATTGAAAACGTATGAAACAGATAACCGATTGCTTATTTGAAATAAAAAATATTTTCAGTTTATAGGGATTCGTTTTTTTGGGACTGCCTTCTCTACTCTACTCACCAATGGCTCTATCTTGAACAACAATAAAAGTTTTATGATTGAACTGTCTAACAAAAAAGAAAAAAACTAACCAATTCGTGAACGTATTATAACAGTCAGGCGATGACAGGTTGACAGCTTTCGATTTCACAAGAAAAGTGAACTAAAATTTACAATGGGGACTTTTCGTTATTTAATATTAATTTCTGCTTAACTTAACCATATAAATTGTGGTCTTATGGCGTGTGGTATGTTGACTGGATTTTAGAAGACGGACGAGTACATATATTTATTCTGTTTACTAGGAACTTTTTTTCATTAATTCGAAAAACGGATGGTCTGTAATTTCATAGTTACCCAAAAATATCGTAGTACGTTGAGCAAACAAATGATAAAGATTCTGTATTTCAATGTAAATACTAAAAATATAAAATCTATATAATGGGATCTGAAATTTTTAGTTACCGGAAAGGTGGCTTACTATAAATACTGATTAAGTAACAGAATAAAACGTAACATTCAATTTTACATAAAAAATAGAAAGTTTCAGTGTTATTTTAGTTGGATTCGTCCATATAGAACTAATGTAGCTTTACCACTATTGCAGAAGTTAAAACTCAATCATAATGTAATGATAAAGTCGTGGAGATGGTTGAGTCTCTCTGCAACCATGAATCGAATAATCCTAGACCACCATTAAAAACTGGAACCACTGGACAGCTGTTTCGTCCTAGTGTGGGACTTGTCAGCAGTGCACATTCCCGATGCTCTCAAATGGTAACGGACCTAGGACCTTCGGTCTCACGCAAAAACGCTTAACCTCTAGATCACTAAGCTAAAATCCAACGGTGTTAATGCCAAACTTCAGTTGTGGAATGAAGTCTCAAACTAAGGTGAAACAGCATTCCAGTGCTTCCAGATCTTTAAAGGTGGTCTAGCATTGATTGATTCATGATTCCAATAAAACCATATTGTAAATTTCTGATATAAACTGACTAGAATTTAATAGCCAACATACTCAATTTCCCTTTTTCTTTAAATTTCTCAAAACTTTTATCCAGTAAGATTTACTTAATTATCATAAAGTTTTCAGTTTGGTTCACTCACTCTAGGATTTTGGAAGATCTTTTAGAAATTAGGTCAACACTGAGAGTAAGATTATCATCAAAAGGAATTTATTCAAAAATTTATGCGTACAATTTTAAGTTGCATTTTCAGTTTATTAGTCAACTGGTCTGTGAAAAAAGGGACTCATTACTAATTTTTTTGTTTAAGAATTACTTATTTCAAAACATTCTTAATAACCAAAAGCAGACTATTATTTAGGTTAAAGATTCTCCAAGGGTTTTACTTACAAAATGAGATATAGAAACGTTTTTCAAAACACAACTATTTATGGAATATTTTTCAAATACATAGTGTACATATTTTTGTTTGAGTCATGGACTATTTTACATACAACACTATTTATGAAAATTATATGGACTGTCATTGCGAAGATAACATGTAAATAATCAAAACATTCTGGGGTTAAAAAAATGAAGCCTGAAAGTCTCGACCCTTTTGAAAATATTTTATATCAATGGATAGATTAGTACAGTAGTAGTAACTTTGGTCATCGATATTGTATACAGGCTACAGTCATAAAAACATGAAGAAAGAAGTATTTGGTTTATGGACTTGTGAACCTTTTCTGTACTGTAATCAATCAACTGCTCACTGTACAATTTTGAAACCAATAAATTTTGTGCTTAAACACCTTGTCTTTATGATTAAAGTGAAATAAATTTCACGTTTATATTCCAATTATTCTCATGTTAAAGACGACAGCATCAGTGATATAAGTAGTGAAGTAATATTCCCACCAATTTATATATTATTTAAAACTTTACTTTGCATTAGCATTATGAATCCTATAACTTTTCACTGATTATAAACGGACATCGGAATTAAATTGATCTTTATTAAAATCCTGGATGAAGAGAACACATCGTATTGATGGTTTTGATGTTAAGTATTAGGAGATAATCTGCAGAATCCCTCTTATGGCTTATTCGGTATGAGCCGACTGTTGAAAGTAAAGATCATCTAAAATCATATGGATAATGTGTGCTTTTCTGAGACCCACATCATCGTCTTCTGTTTTCAGTAGAAATAAATTGCTTGAAGGAACATAACTAACACAGTTTTATTTCGTGTATAAAATTATCAGAAAAGTAAATCTCGATCCCAAACATCAATGCTATTCTTCAAAAACCGAAAAATTCTTTTAACATTGCATATCAGTTTCTTCTAAAATATCAAGTGTCAGAAATATATATTCTAACATAAACAACAAATATTATTCTGAACTAAATGTTTATTGTACTACATCGCATGTATTGTTTGCCATCTTTAAGTGATACTTCGAATGAGCTGTGTTTCAGTCTACGTTTAGGTTACATTCAACCACACATCTACTAAAGTACATAAATAATATTGGTTATAAATACTTAAAAAAGCAATTTCTTTTACAAAAATATATTTAAAAAAACATTCATAAATGTATAAGAACAGATACTATTTTAAAAGAATAAAAATTTCAGTACTTACCCAGTGACTACAACAACGAAATCTAGAATATTCCATATATTTCTTAAATAAGATCCACTGTGTAGAATAAATCCTAAGGCGATAATTTTCAAGAACGCTTCACATGTGAAAATTCCCAAAAAGTAGTTTTCTGTGATTTCCTACGAACAGAAAAACAGTTTTGAAATTTCATTATAAAATGGATACATACAACTGCAGTTTGAATCACTTGGTATACATGTTTCTATCCACAACAATGAGTGATATTGTTTGAAAACTTTCTAAGAATAGCACATTTTCATAAGTGAAATGTACAAAAACTAGCCTTGTATTTAGGTTTATGACGTTCTTTTGAACGGTTTCAACCAACTGTAAGTATTTAATTAGAGGGGGACAGTAAGGATGATGGTTTATTATTTAAGAACTGTAATGTAGAAATTAGGAAATCATGGATTATTAATCAGCTTACACTGATATGACAGTAACTACCAAAGATAAATAGGTAAGGTCGCGCAAAATCTCTTGATCAATCAGAGTTAGACATTAACAACGTTGGATGCCAGCCAAGTGGTCCAGAAGTTAGGTGTTCGCGCGCATGACCGAAGGTCCCGGGTCCGAATCCTGCGAGATGCAGGATTCGTGGATGCGCACTGCTGATGAGTCTCATACCAGGATGAGACGGCCGTTCAGTGCTTCCAGGTCTAAAAATGATTGGTTGATGATTTCAAATGTGTAAAATGAATTAATAAAAATTGAAACATTTCAGAAGTTTCACAGTTCCAGGAGATAGGTACATGCTTTTATTGCTTATTATCTTGGTGTTTCATTCCTGCAAGTACAGTAATAATGTGTTTCAAGTGAGAAATATCACCTTAAAATTCTTGTTAACTGTTAGAAACTTCTCAAATGTGACTAAAATCATTTTATTAATATACCAGTTTACTGATCATTCCCAAATTTAACAGGTCAAGATATTAGTTTCTGATGTGAAAACTTTAACAGATCATTTCTATTTTAGATCTATGCTGATTACATTGTAAGGAAACACAATAATTCTTTGACACTTAAACCCTTAGGCTCAAAGAATTCAACATTTGTCTTATTAGGTTATATTCGATGTCGGTATGTTCCAAAAGCAGACATTCTACTGTCGATTTGGTTGCATAAAATAGCAATCTCACTGAATTATATAAGATTCCACTAAACTACGTACTCAATGAAGCCGAAATTTTCAACATCAACAAAAATCAACAGAATAGGCTTATTACATGTGCGAAATTAAGAAAAAATATGAATATGAATAAACTTAAGCATTGTCAATAATTTTGAACGTAACTATTTAGAAAAGATAAAATTGGTAATCATTATATTCAAAATAAATAACTAAATAAATAATTGTAATTTATATTAATTTGTCATTTAAAAAAAGATCAGTATTCTAAGATGATGGACTGTAAACATTTTAAATAAACGCCAACTTTATTTTGACAGCTGATGTGCTGACATTGTCTTCGTTTTTCCTCCAACTGTTCATTTGATGAGGATATCTATCTCATGGTAGATGACAATAAATCTAATAAAACTTTATTTTTTCTTCCTTTCAAAAATATGGTCAAGAGCAAAACTAGTTAAAATGAAAAGTGAATTTTTTCTGGTCACTCTAAAAAAAACATTTCGTTGTTTATGTCAAATTTTCATTTCCTGACTATGCAAATCAAGCTGATTGACGTATTGAATTTATACAAACATTTTTTTGAAAAAGAACAATTTAAATTCAGGGAATATTGTTTTTCTAGAATGATTATGAAATGGTGATTTTGTCTAATCCTTGTCGTCTTCTTTATCAAAAAAAGGCAAATTACATAAATGGCGTCACTTTCATATATCAATATATGTTTAACGTATTTTAAGACGTGTGTATATTTGAATATTTTTGTAGTTAAACACTACTACAAATGATTTTATGTAGAAACAGAATTGTTTTCTACAAATAAATATCTTCTGTTTGAAATTCTTTTGATCGTTGCTCTACATATCTCAGTAACATCCCAATGATATCAGTGGTTTACAAATATCACCTTCCCGATACTAAACTTTATGCTGCCTACTGAATACTGATGGTTATATGCATTCGATTGCTATAATATCTCTTCACAGTTCAACAATTCACGAAATTATTCTAAGTAAGAATAAAAATCCTCAGAAAAATCCTCAACCTGAAGTTCACTAAACATGTTGAGTATGCGATTAAAGACTATAAGTTTTTTTCCAGTTTATTTCAATGAGATTCATAATTTTATTCTAATAACTCAAAACCTAAATGAATTCTTGGATATATTAAGTAGTTTGGTGGAAATAGGTTATGACGGGTGACGAAAACATTTTCTTCAGAAATCAATATCAATTAGAGATTCGCCAAAACCTGACGAGTTGTTAATTAGTTTAAAAATTCTTTGAGATGTTCAGCTTCGGTAATGCATTGGATGTAAAGTTACATTCTTGGACACGAAGATCAGAATTATTCTATTCCTTAGCGAGGTATGGTTTCAGTTTGTTAATATGATAATAGATCTGTGCTACATAGTTCGAAATCATAGACTTATTTCAGCTAGACAATCACTAAAAACTGGGAACTACTCAACAGCTATGTTATTATGAGGCTTTAAAGAAGTGTGTACTTTTAAAACGTCCAGGAATTTAGATCGGAAACTTGGGGACTCATAGAGATTGTCTCAAAGTACTAATTACCTAATTTAGAAAATAGTAGTACAAATACTCAGCTTTTGTCGATTTCCAAACCAGATGATATAATCTTGCAAGTTGTTATTTATACACGTGAATTTTATTCCTTTAATGTAGTTGAACAGTGGACATAACTTTCATTCCTTGTTCATTTATCTACTACAAAAGTAGTTAACTGGACAGTAATCATCAACATCATAATCTTAATATTGATAAGTTTTACACTCTCCTTTAATTCAACCATAATCAGTGTTTGTTTGGTTGGATAGAAAATGAATAATTTCATTATTCTCTCTATAACTATAAATTATTCAACTAAACTGTGTGAAATTATTTTCTAGACTGTCGACGTCATTGACCATTACTGTTTTTTTTGTCATCGATCATTGTTATCAAAAGTATACAATACAATAAAACACTGATCTGTGATGATGGATTCTCTTAAGGTTACTTGAATAGTTATTGTTCTTGCACGGAAAAACCACTATCAATCATAAACAATGATGTTCATGATGAAAACGTTTTGTCTATTCATGTCACCTGCCTTCAGATCAGTGACAATGAGAACAGATTAAAAAGATGAAAGGAACAAAATGAAAGATTGAAATTAACAAAAATTACAATTGTAAGTTGAATGTGTTGTTTAACACATTTTCAAAAATGAAAGAGTAAGAAGTTCCAGAAATAATACCATGAAAATAAAATGTGAATTCGTAAATTTATACTAAGATAAACAAGGATAATATGTAATCAGTGTTGAAAATGGAGTTTCAAAGTCATGGTATACGGCTTAAGTAAGAAATCTGACTATAATATGTTTTGTGCTTTCTCCTTTTGACAAAGATATAACAATGACAAGTTACACAGTTAGTTCTTTGTTGTGGGTTTATCAATCAAACTCAATTAAATAAAGTTTGATGCGGTTATCCATGAAGATCATTCTGGCTTTACTTCCAAGTCAGATATTATGTATGGAGCTAAGGCGAACTGATCACGTTTGTATATATATTTTTAAGGTTACGGTTAATATTTCAAATGATATGTTCACTTTAGATTGTATACTTTTGCATTTCGACAACAATGTACTAACAATGTAATGACAGAAAAAAGGAATGGAATCTGTTTTACGCGATCACGATTCGTAAATACAATCAGCAAAATGCTGATGTAAACGCAGTAATTCTCTGTTTCACTCCTAGCTAATTTAAACATAAAACATCTTTAAGATCTGACTCAATTTCCTTAGACGCATTTTCTTGTAGAACCTCACATATATCTCGTACTTTTATCATTGTTGAGCTTGTATGCGCATGTACGCACGGGCATTACTTGCCACCTACACATTTAGTTATTTGACTAGCTGTATCGATTAACAGATTGAATAATTCGATGTCAATATCGACTATACATTTTTGAATTAAATCCGATATTTGTATCTATCATAAAATAATTTGAATAATGAAGAGATTGTGGCAACGACTCGTATTCTCTAGTAGCGATCATCAAGACGGAGATCTATGGGAAATCAAAGATAACGAAAGTTTAACGCCACATTCTTAGCGATGAACTGGCTCATGCAGAACACTTGTAACAATTGAATACGACTTTATTGATCTAAGCGAATTCACAGTAGTGTAATGAATTCAGTATTAGATGAACTTGTATTCATAAATCATGATAATGACGACTCTGTCTGTGGATTCGACAGGAAGAAACGTGGGCTGCAATAATAAAATGCCAGAAAGAGGACTTATACTAGAGTATAATATGTAAGCGGTAAACTTTTCATCTACACCGATGAATTTTTCCATCAACATTATCTTCAGATATAATCACAAGAACTTCGACCAGACCAATGGAAAACTTGCACCTTATTCAAAAGCTATTGTCAACCTAACTTTCATAATTTTCTGTAATTATTTCCATTAAAATCTGGTCGATTTGACTACCTGCTCCTTCATTTGTTTTTAACAGGAAAAAATTCTCAAGGCTATTTAAATAGTCGCCTAAGTTCTTTCCTATACTTTAGTCCTGACTTCGTGGATTAGTGTCACGCGATCTACCTAACTTACCTTATAGATATATTTGCTCTAAAACTATGCTGACTGATACAGTCCGTCACTGTTGACTGTGAGAAGTTGAATCAATCCACCAAATAAGGGAAGCTGCTTGTACTATAAACATTTTTTTCGGTTATTACCCAAACTCAATCTAAAAAGAGAACAATCAAACTAATGTCGAAATAGAATAATACTTGCCGAAACAGAAGGAAATATTAGTGATTCTTAAGGAAGACTTAGTCATCAATATGCTTTTGTAAGCGGTGATAAGGACAAAGTAAATTACGCTAATCATGTTTATGACACCGATTAATTATGTGATTCGTTTTCAAACATTTACTCATTGAACTCCTAGAAAAATGTGAATAGCCTTATTTAATCAAAAGACCAATTATTATACATTTTGATCTTATATTGAATTCATTTTCAATTATAGAAGTTTAATTTTTGTATTTTTAGACAAACAAAATACGTATTTTAAATCAACGGGCATAACCATAGGAGAAAGTGATAAATACTTACCAATTTCTCTGATAATGGACGTTTATCTTTATTCGGTAAATGAACTTCCATAGCCAGAACAACACAATTAGCTATAATGGTTGATAGAACCATATACTCGAATGGTGTGGACGATGAAAAATTTAACAATGACCATAACAATCATTAATAATTTCAATAATAATCGATGCAACGAAAGAGAGCACCAAAATTGCAGAATAATTTTATGCATAGAAAAATTAGCTAAGGAATTCATCTTTTATTGAACTGTAAACACAATAAATGAAATAATAATATATATAGGTAATAATAATATATATAGGTAACTGATAATCTTGTTGCAACTTTAGGGAGAAGAAACAATGAACCAATTTTGCAGGTACAAACTATGGTTACAGCTAACATAGAATTTTTCTCTCAAATAAACAGATCGATAGAAGTCAGTTTTATGTGTTCAGATGATGTTTTAGTAAAACAGTTAGTATTTACATGTACAATTTTTATAAATAAAAAAATAATATTTTGTCATTATGAGTTTGATTATAATAAGTAATAGATTATGTAATTAGTAACATGTATTTATCAATTTTCAACTGACAATGTCTATAACGAAGCAATGTTTGTACATTTTCTCCATTTTATTCTAATCAATTTCCTAATCTATTTTTTTTTAAAAATCCATTACAGAAAGCATCCGTTATTTGTATGATAATATCATTTTCTATATCTAACTAGTAATTATATCAGTAAAATAGCTTTAAAATAATTAGTGTATTATTTGAAGATATAAGTTTCTCAGGTAACATAAAACAATCAGTCATTACTTTACTTTGAGACTTGACAACAGTGAATTGTGCATGTGTTGAATAGCATCAAACCTAAGGCTGTCGAAGTAATTTTAACTTTTAGCCCTGTAATGGTATAGAAATCGGAAATCATGACATAGTTCTGATAATAAAGATATGTTAAATTTCCTACATATAAAAACTCGATTTCATCTACCTTTTTTCTGTGATTTATTCCCTTAAAATATTTTTTGTCAGTTTTAAAATGGACATTTTTGTTAAAATTAATGTCGAAATATATACGAAATTGATATCGAACACATATGTTGCATGTCGAGGAAAGAATACTGAATAAATTTATCTCTCAATGTCCAATAAATCAAATGATATGTATATGTATTGGCAAACGATTTGACAAACATTGTCTTTAACCTCAGTTATCGCTGGCATTAAAAGGATGGGTTCAATAATGTTTTTTAAAATTTCCAATCAATCCACACTAATGTGAGCAATAAGTAAGAAATATAATATGATAGTATTTGCATAAATTTATCATATGGAATAAAGGTTGGTCATAGGAAATATCAAGTGTGAAATACTTATTCGAAAAATCAATTAAAAATGGTGTTACTGTCTGTTAAACTGGTTAATACATTCAAAAAGCCTAATCAGCAATAAAACTCTCTGTCATCGAAATGTACTCTTTATGAGTTATATTGGGTTTTTGATACACTATTTCAATATGATATTTAACTACCGGTTTATTATTATTATTATTGTTAACGTACAACCCGCTGGTGATCAGTAATATGAAGTGAATATTTTAAAATGAACAGTTTTCATGATTTGGAATGTGAAAAATGAAATTTTAAATTGACAGATACTTTGGAAGATTCTGCATAATAGAATTATAAAAAGATTACAAAATCCTGTAAATTTTGGTTTTATAGTGTTATATAATTAATAAAATAAGCTGTGAACACTTTTCTTAGAAGCCAGAAAATCTTGATAATAATCAAACTTTTCTATAATTCAGTGTTTTTGAACTATCTGTACGTAGTTTTTCTAAGTATTTTCCATTGTGTTCTTCTCAGTAACCATATCCTACAAAAATGAGAATACTGAGTGATATGGTGCGAAATCGATCTGCAAACAACTCATTCACAGGTACTTTTCATCTTTATTCAAAAATTTAGTTGGGTATCATTCTTAAAATTGTATTTGTTCGATTTTATTCCACGTTATATCGTCTCCTTCGATTCAGATTTTTTCTCCATTTTCACCCACACTGTAATAAGATGAAATGCAAAAACTTAAGTTGGTAGATGTTTGTCTTCGGCTGTAAACTGGAAGTAATGACTGGATAACATAGCTAATTTTACAAGTTCACCTACACATAGAGACTTTTGGTTTCGAGTAATTACTGTCAAGATGATAGTTGAAAGATCTCACTTGATCTCAATTAGTAAATATGTTAAAATTAATTTTAGTTATCTTAAAATATTAAACATTTTGTTCAGTACTCTTCTTTATTTAAGAGTACTTCAGATGACACCAGTTTACTTCCTGACGTCAAGCTGGAGAAATCTAACAATGTAAACTTCCCTATCCTAAAATGAAAACTTGCTTGTTTTAACTACAGAATTCACAGACCATTTACATAAATGTGTATTTGCGTAAAGAGTAGATAGATAGTTTTTGGAATATAATTTAATCTAAATTTTATTCTTTTTCATTGATTATTGAATGAAACAATAATATAAGTGTAGAAATGTCCAATAACATAAACGTATTCAGTGTAGACTTTAAAAAATGTCATATCATTCTGATTTAATTCATACCTGATCTGTTTACAAGTTGAAATAGCTAATCATATTCATTTTCATGATTCTTAATAATAATAACATGATTAATAATAGAAAATATCTTTCATAAATATCTCACTTTGGTGAGCTTGCAGCAAATAAAGAACCTTTGAATTTAAAAATGATAATGAATGGGTTTTTATCATTTTTAACTTTCGTGTCGAGAAAAATCACCCAACCTGGGATTCTTTATCCAAAGAATCATCAATATTCAACAATGTCTGTGACTTAGGTAGGTATTTAATTTTAACATTTCAAAAATCAATGCAGGTTATGAAAAACATTTAGCTGAAATCAATTTTACTCAATCGAATTGAATTTACATTAGAAAATAAGAATCATTGAGATGTCTGCATTTTTTTCTGGAAACAGAATGAAATCAAATAAAACAACAAGCATGACACATTTAATTATCATTATTTCAGACAGTTTGTAGCATCATGTTGTTAATTCAGTATATAATTAGATGTGTCTCATTTTCGATCTATCTAGTTAACTTTCAATGACAGTAAAACATATTAGTGAAATATCAAAAAATTAATTTTGCAGCAATTAACTACTAAGGACACTTCAAACTAAACTTTGTAATTAAAAACTAGATATATATATTTATAAATATATTATCCCCAATATCTTAATTATTAAACTATAATTATTAGCCTAAATAACATATCAAATCAGATTAGTCAACAAAAAAATAATATTTGAATTTCGTTTCAGTTGGATGATGAGAAAAATTAAAATTATCGAAAAATAATTAAATATTATTTTTTAAAACTAATTCGATAAAAAAAGGCTGTTTTTTGAATGAAATAGAAAATCTTGATAATTTTGATTTATGATGCTAGCAAATCTAATAATAATAATAATAATAATAATAATAATAATAATAAGTACACGAAACAATTTTTTTTCATGTGTCTTAATATTTTTAAAATAAAACAGTTTCAAAATAAAATTATAACCAAAGATTATTTTATTTTAAAATTGTGATAGTTTTATTGATTTTGTCTATTGAGAAAAAAGCTTACTACGCCCATGGGAAAAAACAGTCATAATAATTAATACTGGAGGTTAGTGAAGATTATCGGATGAATTTTTTGATTTTGTAGGTTGACTATTTTATAAGGACAACATTAGAAACCAGTATGAGTTCAATTAAGTCAATTTAACTGAAAGTGTTAGTGATTACTAAATCACTGACTGGTATATTCTATCACTGAATTTAAATCCAATGGTTTGAGAGTTACGCTTTTGCTGAATGAATGAAAAATCCTGAGTTTGATTGTCGACGACATCTATGGTGCTTATTGAGGTAACATACACTGAGAAAAAAATAACTATTCATTGTTATATGATTTTAACTGTTCGTTAAGTAACTGTCAGTTATTTAACTAAAGAACTAGCAACAGAAATAAAAGTGAACCATTGATAGATTGGTTTTTTGAAAAAATCGCACTCGTTTACAAATCATAGTTTTAAAGAATTATTACGAATTTCAACTTTTAAGAAATGTTGATTTGTTAAATCAGTATGTTCAATATATATAAACAGTAATATAAATTAACAATGAATTCATAATAATTAAAAACATTAACTACTTTTGAAGACGCTAAGTATTCATCGAGTAGACGCTCATGCTACGTCGTCAACACGTTAGTGAAAGTCAAAAAGCATTCCGTCAACTGATAATAGATGAAGATTTGGTGGTGTATCAAGTACAAAATGTAGAATAATAAACCAAATTTTTAATGACAGGAAAATACCGCGTAGGTCGTATGACATCAGAAACTCGAAATCAGTGCTGAAGAGTAGTTGAAACAGAACACTTGAATAGCGCTTTACCGTTTCCTGGTAGTTTAGCAAGTGTTGATGATTTTAATCTCCATTTAACTATGAAGTGTTGTAATTTATCACAAATCTATCCAGTGAACGATATAAAGTGTAACGTTTGATAAAAAAAAACACAATAATTATCTATAAGGTAAATCAATCCATCAGTTTAATAAAACGCATCCTAACTAGTGCGCTCAATCATTCACTTAACACAACACTTCATCAACTAAAATGAACACCTAAAATACATTGAAAACCATGAACAGTCATACAAGCATATCGTTCAATTCTAAACTAATCTTATTACCACATTTCACAATTTCCGACTACACTCTCAATGATTCCATTTATCCAAGTTTCTTTAAACTGAACGATGAGTTGACAGTTATCTTAAGTTAGTGTGATAGCTTACTCATTGACATCTGTTGAATGACGCGTTGTTTGCTGTTACATTTTTGTAATATGAGTTAGTCGATTGTGCATGGTGAAGACCATTCTACTAATTACACACTCATCGCTTTCTGATCAATGAGGAAGCGTAAGATTTACTTGACAGTGGTCTACTGGTAACTCGAAATATCTTTTCAAACGAGAAATAAGTTGTTGAATCACTAAATGAATCGCTAACTGAAGATTGCCTT